TTTAGCTTCTTGACACAGCCTATTCATTTGAAACTTTCTTCCTTTTTAAATGTAAGCACTTAGTGATAGAAATTCTTTTCTCAGTATTCTTTTATCTATGTCTCATAAATTTTAGTAAGTTGTATTTTCTATTCGGTTGAGTGTGTTTAATTTCCCTGAAGACTTCCTCTTTGACCCATGGATTATTTGAAAGTATGGTATGTTGTTTAGTTTCCAAGTGTTTGGATATTTTCCTGTTACTTTTCTGTTACTGATTTCATTGTGGTCACAGAACACAACTTGGTGTGATTTCAGTTCTTTAAAATTTGTTGAGGTTTATTTTATGGTCCATAATATTGTCTTTCTTAATATATACTCCACGAGCACTTGAAAAGAATGTATATTCTGCCATTGCTGGGTAGATTGTTCTTTTAATGTCATTTAGACCCTGTTGGTTAATGCTGTTTTGAGTTCTTCTGTACCCTTGGAAATTTTCTGTCTGACAATTGTTGAAAGAGGGTTCTTCACTTGTCCAGCTGTAACTGTAGGATTGTTCTCCTGTCAGTTCTGTCTGGTTTTGGTTCACATATTTTGTACCTCAATTGCTTGGTATATACACATTTAAGATTGTTGTGTCCTTGCTGAATTGACCTTCAGTCATTATGTAATCTCTGTCTCTGGTCATTTTCTTTGCTCTGAAGTCTATTTTAATTGATGTTAATAGAGCCATTCTTGTTTTATTTGGTTTGAACAGCTTTATTGAGATAGAATTCACATGTCATACAAGTCAATCATTTGAAGTATATGGTCATTGGATTTTAGTATATTCGCAGATATGTGCAACCATCAGTCAGTTTTAGAACATTTTTATGTCACAAAAAGAAACTCTGCCTTTTAGCTTTTGCCTTCCTACCCTATTCCAGTCCTACCCAGCTCCCTTCTCCCATGTCCCCTAGACATCCCTAAGTAACCACTATTTTGCTTTCTGTATCTATTGATTTGCATATTTTGGACATTTCATATGGAAGTCATTATATGTTTTTTTCTTTGAAGCATTGTTACGTAGTGTTTTCAAGGTTCATTCATGTTGTAGTATGTATCAGTACTACATTCCTTTTTATAACTGAATAATTCTCCATTGTATAGATGTATCACATTTGTTTATCCATTCATCAATTAATGGGCATTTGGAAAACAAATTGTTTCCATGTTTTTACTTATGAATAATGTTTCTATATATATTTTTATATAAGTTTTTGTGTGGATGTATGTTTTCATTTCTCTTATTTATATATACTTAGGAGTAGACGGTGGTTCTTATTGTAATTCAATGTTTAACTATCTGAGCCGCTACCAGGTTGTTTTCCAAGTAGCTGTTCCAGTTTACCTTTCCACCAGTAGTAGACAAGGGTCCCAGTTTCTCCACATAACACTTTTATCATCCATCTTCTCAATGACAGATGTGAAATGGTATCTCACTGTGGTTTCACTTTTCATTTCCCTGATGTCTAGCATCTTTATGTATCTTCTTTGGAGAAAGGTCTATTCAAACTCTTTACCCATTTTTTATATTGTTTCTTACTGAGTTAAAATTCTGCTTTTGATTATTGTTTTCATGATACATCTCTTTCTACCCATTTTACTTTACCTATGTATGTCATTATATTTAAAGTAAGTTTTTTGACCCAAAACTGTAAGCTAATGGAAGAAAATACAGGGGAAAAAGCTTCATGACAGTGAGCTGGATAATGACTGTTTTTGAGTATGACACCAAAAGCACAGGCAATACAAGCAAAAAATAACATAGGATTACATCAAACTAAGTCACTTTTTCACAACAAAGGAAACAATTGACAAAATGAAAAGTCATCTTATAGAAAGGGAGAAAATATTTGCAACCATAATCTCAAAAGACATTAATATTCAAAAAAATATAAGGAAGCCATACAACTCACTAACAAAAAAACCAAACAACTTGATTAAAAAATGAACAAAGGACCTAAATAGACATTTCTTAGAAGAACACATATAAATAACCAACAGGTATTATGAATAAGTGAAATGACCTCACTAGTCATTAGGGAAATGCAAATGAAAACCACAATGAAATACCACCTCGTGCCCATATGGAGGGCTGTTACCAGAAAGACGAAAGATAACAAGTGTTGACACAGAGACTGTAGGTAGGAATGTAAATTGATATGGCCATCATGGAAAAGTCTGGAGGTTATTCAAAAAAAAATAAAAATAGAACTATTTTAGGATGTGGCAATCCCATTTCTGGATATTATATTCAGTGAAACTGAAATGACTGAGATATATCTGGACCCCCATGTTCACTGTAGGATTATTGACAGTAGGTGAGATACGGAAACAATCTAAATGTCTGTCAACAGATCAATACAGAAGGAAAACATAGTGTGTTTTTATGTGCAATGGAATATGATTCAGCCAAATAAAAGAAGGAAATTCTGCCATTTATGACAACATGAGTGGACCTGGAGGATGTTGTGAGATAAGCCACACACAGAAAAACAAATATTGCATGATCCCTCTTTCTTACATGTAGAATCTAAAATAGTCAAACCCATTGAAGCAGAGAGTAGAATGGTGGATACCAGGGACTTGGGGGAATAGTAAATGGGGAGACGTTGGTCAAGGGGTACAAAGTTTTGTTTCCACAATATGAATAAGTTCTAGAGATCTAATACACAACAATTATAGTACTTTATTGTTTACTTCAGATTTAGTAAGAGGGATCACCATGCACACACAAAGTGACTAGGTGATGGATATATTAATTAGCTTGATAGTGATTTTTTCACTACATTATTTATTACATTATATATTACATATTCAATGTATATGTATATCAAATTGCACACTTAAATATATACAATTTTAAATTGTTAAAAATATGGCAATAAAAAGAGTTCCTTATAGACAACATGTAATTGGGTCCTGCTTTAATCCACTGTGCTAATTTCTGTCTTTATTTGGTACATTTAAACTCTTAACATTTATTATAATTGACATGTTAGAAATTAAGCCTGCCATTTTATTCATTTTATTTTCTGCTCTCTTTTTTTGCTTCTCTGTTTTCTTTTTATGCCTTCCTTTGAATTACATAGACATATTTTAGAAGTTTCTTGATTTATTTATAGTATTTTTGAGAGTGTTTCTTTGTATTGCTTTTTTAGTGGGTTGCTTTTGATATTTACTGTCTGGCTTCTAACAGTAAAAGGGTGCTGACTTAAGGTCTAGATTTAAGAAAGTGAGGGAGAAAATGTTAATTATACAGATTAAGCTTAAAAATATGTTACATCTATAGCTATTGTGAGTAGCACAAAAAATTGAGGCAATTGTCTTCTAGTATTTGAGAACTTATTATGTGATTCAGCAAAAACATCACCGCATCACTGACAGGCAAGTGAAGTTCCAACATACACCTTCATTGTTTTGCCTTGCTGTGTCTTACTCTTCAAGTGAAATACCATCCAACATTTGTGTTAGAACTACACTTGTAACCAGAGGGTACCTACAAATGAGTTTGTGAAAGTCAACTAACACATTTTGTGAGAACCAATTGGCTATGTAGAGTTTATAATATAGTATTACAGACTTTATTATTTGTGGAATTCTGTGCTACAAACACTTTACATCAGTAGAATTTATAGTACACTAGGAACCTTTATATGTATAAATGTATGTATAAATGTGTCATATATGAATGAATGTGTATTCACATACATGCATATTCCACCCCTCTCCACCAACCTCAAACCATTTGTTAATTATTGAACAGCACACCACTCGTAGTATTACTGTTACCTTGAGTTTTTCGAATTAAGGCACCTGCAGTTTTAGCTTAATAATTCTGATTTAACAAATTGAACTGATAACAAGCAAACATTTCCCTTGTACCTTCCATTTCACAGTGTCATTGTCCTAATGGAAGGGTCCTTGAGCTGCCAGAGGATGTTGATTGTCTCAGACATGACGGTACAGAGTGACTGTGGTTAGATGGAGTAATTACTCGAATACAATATTCCTTCTTCTGGGTATAGAGAAATTTACACTGATATTCACTAAGAGAATGTTCACAATTAGGTGAAACTCTTCTTGCTTTCAGGTATTAAATGAACTGGGTAGCATCTCACTTCTGTTTTCATGTTACATTGATATTGATATTGTAAAAAGTAGAAAAGAGATTATCAATTACTGTTTGATCCCTTGAGAATGGTGCAGAATATGTGCATAATGTCCACATGTTTTAAGGATTTTTTTCTTTTTTCTTTCTTTTTTTATTGATATACAGTCTTATGTTAGTTTTAAGTGTACAACACAGTGGGTTCAACAGTTACCATATAATTAAATCCTCACCCCAACTAGTGCAGTTACTATCTATCAACATAGGAAGATGTTACAGAATCCTGGCTATATTCTCCATGCTGTACTACTATCCCCATGACCAACCTTCATTATGAGTGAGAATTTTTGTGCCCCTTTAGCCCCTTTACACCTCCTCCTCCCCATGGTAACCACCAGTCACTTCTCAGTGTCTATGAGTCTATTGCTGTTTTGTTCCTTCTGTTTTGCTTTGTATTATATTCCACAAATAAGTGAAATCATATGGTATTTGTCTTTCTCTGCCTGACTTATTTCATTGAGCATAATACCCTCTAGGTCCATCCATGTTATAAATGGCAGGATTTCTTTTCTTTTTGAAGGATTTTCTAAAATGGTATTTCATAATCTGATGAAGAGCAGCAAGAAATAGTCTAGTGTTTCAGCCCTGATACTTTTTTAATATGTATATTTCTACAAATGAAATCTTACTGACATTACTTTGAAATTATTTAGTATTAGACTGTCTTTTCTGTCTTTACTAGAGACCTTTAAATCTCCCCTGTGATAAACACTTTTGCATGTAGGTAATATTCCCACCTTTTTTTTGGCATCTGATATATGTTTATATATAACATCTACTTCTAAATTTGTCTTGACTTTTTCCTCTTCAGTTTGATGAGTGGTGTTAAGAATAATGTTGGAAGAGGGATCAATGTGGCCTTGGTAAATGGTAAGTATAATTATTTCTTCTTATGGTTGTAGTCAGTGGGTATTCAAGTGGCCCAAAGTAAAATACACTCTAATAACAGGGAATCGGGTCGGAAAGTGCCACACTTGACACAAAGCCCTTTCCCAACCCTTCCCAACCACCAGCTACAGGCAGAGATTCAGCTCCTCGGTATTTATAGCATACTTTCTTGGAAGCATCCACTTGGTGCGCAGTGTGTGGAGAGTCTCCTGTGAGATCATCAGGATGCATCCAATCTCATATCAAACCAATGAAATCTTGCTGAAAAACTTGGAATCCTAATGTAATATGAAGGTAGATAGATATGAATGAAGGTGTGTGAAATGACGGGGGTGATAGACTATCGGATGGGGTGGAGGGAGGAAGGATTAACTTTTTTCAGTAATTTTTTCAGTATTGTCCATGTTCTTCTGGTAAGTTCATTGACTGTGAACATCTCCAACGTTGTAGAAGGTGTCTACACTGTAGAAGGTGTATTAGAAATCACAGCCACCTTACCCAGTTCATAGTATAGGAAAGGATTTTTTACTTCCTTTCACAAGAGATAAATTTTTGTGTTTCCACTTTCTTCATTTTCTTAGGTTAAAAAATTCTGTAACTATTTGTGTCATGTAATTGATAGCAAAAAAAATACATTTTAAAAGGGAAATAAATGTAAATTTTTAAGAGATCACTTTAATTGTAGAAAACAGCATATTCATCTTTTTTGGTAAAAGTTTTATGTGTTAAGTATTTTTAGCTAGTATTCTTAAATAAGGGAAGATGATAACACATAAAGATGAAAATATCTGACTTTGAATTTGGTCTGCAGTCAGTAGTGAATTTCTGTTTGCTACTCTGTGGTTTATAAGATTAGTGAGAAAGTCCTATCCAGAAATTACTCTTTTAGAAATATATTTCCAATGCATGCAGATCACATTTTTCAAGTCTTTCTCAAAGTAATTCTTCCTCTACTAGTGCATTCATCAGCCTTTGGGTAAGATCAGGTGACTTATACAATGTAGAGTATATTACACTTGCATAATTTGATACAAATCCGATCTTTTTTCAGGAAAAACAGGAGAAGTATTAGATACCAAATATTTTGACATGTGGGGAGGAGGTAAGCATGAATAACATCTAACTGTTCTGTTGCTAACACTGACTTCTTAATCATCTCAACATAATGTAGCCTGTTACTGAGAGAATAATGTTACTATTTTGATGTCAATTCATTTGGTTTCTCTTCTTTTCAGTAAATGTCCGGGTACATTTAAGTAATCAGTCATATTGTATATACTTTGCTTTTTTATAAAAATTGTGGTGTGTAATTAAGGGCAATAATAATCAAAATTGAGATTTTGAAAAATATGAGTCCTGTTTTCTGCAGGACCACTAAATCAAAGCTTTGGGCTGCTCTTGGTTCCTGTCTGAAAATTTTTAAAGAGTAAGTAACTTGAAGAAGGGCATAACCAATTTAAGCATTTTTAACTGATTAAATTGATTTCTTTACATATGATTTTTCAGTTTCAAAAGCCAATCATAACCAGAATTATTATTAAAGTAGATAAATATTTGAGAGAAGGAAGAGAATTTTTTTCTAGTTCATTGGGCTGCAAGTGATGAGCCAATATCTTGCTAATTTGGCAGTTCTTTAATGAGACAGTGGAAGTCAGTCACCAGCACATACAGCAAGGACCTGGCACCTCAAAGAAACTGCCGGAAAGAAAGGGATTTCTTCCTCAAGTTGGAAGGCAGACTAGCACTGCCTTTTGAAACTTAGTTGGTTTGGGCAGTGTATTAGTATGAGGCTGTTCCTTGCACCTCCCTGTCACCATTCACTTCATGTATATTCCCTGAAGCCAATAGCTGTTAGTATTCCTGAAATGTATGTGAGGTTCTCAGACCATTCAGCTCTTCTAATACTTGCTCAGCTTGTAATCAGATGCCATGTAATATTTATTGAAAATTAGGTTAGGAGAACTTTTCATAGCTGTCAAAACTGTACATTTAACATGCCACCATCAATTTTAGATTCTAAAAGGCATAATTGGTCCTTCCAAAACTTACTGTGTCAAACACTCCTGCAAAGCTGTTGTTGAAACCAGTCATGTTACCAGAAACTCTAGTTTTCAGCCCTTGTAGATCAATTACGGCTGAAGTACTCTTCAAGTTGAGAAAGGGTGGCAGATTAATGCCATCTTTGTGTTTAAATGGAAGTGGTTTGTTAGTGGCTCTGGTACCTTTTTTTCTGAATTGAAAATGCTATTATTATGAAATAGAATTCAATTAGAGAAAATCTTCAGAATCTTTGCTGTAGGAAGAAACTGACTCAAATTCACAGTAACCCAGTTTTGAAGTAGTGTTGAACTTGGAGGCTGTTAGGAAACCTGACACTAGAGTTCAAGATGTAGGATGATTTGTGGCACCTGACCTGCCTTTCTGACATCCCCAGTTTGTAGTCAATAAAGTATTTTATTTTTAAGTCCTTGTGAATCTTGATAAACTAGATGAAGCAGGTAATGACTGTAAAATGTGCCATAATTAGTTTAGCTTTCAGGAATAACTAACTTAACATTCCTTCCTCTAGTTACGGTAAGCAGATACACCCAGAAGAGCTCTTAAATCTGTGTGTGTGTGTGTGTGTGTGTGTGTGTGTACAAACTTACATAATTTTTAGACATTATAGATCCTTTTCAGAATTAGCTAAAAGTCCTATATTCTCTTCTTAGCAAAGTACCCACACAAACAATTTTATATATACCCAGGAAGTCCATGAGCCTTCCTCCTGCCCCTTTAAGTTTCTGACTTTAAATCAGAAGTCATGCTTTAATATGACTTTGCTATGGTTTTTTCATTTAACCCCTGGAATATCAGTACAAAAGACACATTGGATCAGGACTGAGAAATTTTAAGTTCATAGTAGGATCATATCCAGGGACAGTTAATTTTTAACCTGTGCACAAGATTTGTCTCCCTTTTGGTTATTCTGTATTACAAATCACTGATTTACAAACACAATAATTTATATTATTAACTTTTAAGGGATTATCATGATGATTACTCATTTTGAAAAAACCCTCAACCTTTCTTTTTCTTCAGATGTGGCTCCATTTATTGAGTTTTTGAAGTCCATACAAGATGGAACAATAGTCTTAATGGGAACGTACGATGATGGAGCGACCAAGTATGTAAACCTAAAAATTTATACAACTTTTTGGAACGGTAGTTTATACTTATAAAAGCAATACATTTTTAATGAAAAAAATACATCAAGTAAAGCAAAGTAATCCAACTTCCAGGTAAGCGCTGTGAACATTTTTTAGTTTGCTTCCTTTGATCTGGGTATTTATCATACATATATTGTGAAATTAAACTCATATTGTACATAAAGTTTTCTATACCTCTTTATATTCTGTTTTTCACAACTTTAAATTGTTTTTCTGACATTAATATTCTTCAGGAGTATTTTTCATCACTTACCAACAATTGATCATATTGGCCCCAACTTTATTTAAAAGTTTCCTAATATAGCCACATTTTTTGGTACTACAAATAACATTGTGATACACCTCCATTTACATAAATTTTTTTGCATCCTTGATTATGTCCTTATGGCAAATTCCTAGAAGTGGAATATGTGAAAGGACGAGTATGATCCATTTTTCATAAAGTGTAGTAGATGGTATTTTGCAGCTTTTTTCTTAAATTGTAAATGTAACGTTTGGAAAATGCAGAAAAGCATAATGAGGAAAATAAGTGTGGTTCACCTCACTCTATTCAAAGGTAACCATTGATAACATTTGTTTCCATCTCCATATTTCTTAATGCACATATTTTCTTTATCTCAGATACTTGTAATGATAGTATTTATAACATACTTTTTCATTTATTTATATAGTAAATATTTTTCCTATACCATTAAATATTTTTCATAATAACATTGTTCATGTCTGCCTGGTATAGCTTTTCTATATGTGTCATGATTTAATATTTATTTAATAAAATACCTACTACTGGACTCTTAGGCTATTTCCAATTTTTCATACTTAGCAAAAAATGCACTATCTTAACAATTTTTGAACAGTCGTCTATTGCCTCAAGATATATTTTGTGAAGTAAGGTTATTGAATTAAAGGATGTGCATGTTTTTTAAAAAGGATTTTAAGTTTGTACCGATTTTGCATGTCTTTTAGAAGTTCCGTGACACTGACTGTTAACTTTTTAAAAGTTCCCAATTCCAGAAGTTTTAGAAAGGGGTTTTGTTAACATGACTTTCTTGGCTTATTGATAACACTAGATTTTTTTTTTTCACAAGTGTTTTTTGGCTGTTGTAAATTGTCTTCTGACCAGTTAGGTTGACTCATACTGATTTATAAGAGCTCATGTGTTTAGGATATTAACCATCATATTAAAATATATTGTTTGCTTTTCATTTTTTAAATGTGTAGAGCTTTTCAGCTTTTATAAATTTAGACTAATTCTTGTGTAGTTAAGTTTTTGTATTTTCCTTTTTAGCTTCTTCTACTTTTATACTTGAGAAGCCCTTTTCCAAAATAAATACTTAGTAGATTTTCCTCTTCCAGTGATTTCACCGTTCTCATGTTTATAAAAATACACTTCTAATTTCCCAGTGACTTGTAATGTCTGTTCTTATGTAGATTTAACTGTTTCTAAAAGTTCTGTTCTATTCACCTATTTATTCCTGCTCCAATAAAACACTATTTCAATTTTTTACTATTTTCTAAAAATAAGCGTGCATAATACTTTCTGGTGGGGCTAAATCCCTTTTAGTAGTCTTAAAAAAACTTCTTCTGTGATACTTTATCCACATGACTTTTATCAAGAATATAATATGTCCCTTGTAGATTTTAATTGAAAAAGCTTTTAAACTGTAAGTTCCACATAGAAATGTGGCATGTCTATTGCTTGATTTTTTTTCATACATGTATTAAAGTGTAACTATATTGTAGATTTGCACTGAGAAAACAGTGCCACTTTATGAATGTTTCTAAGCTAAAGTCATTTCACTGACATTGTGTATTTTATCTGGATCAGCCAAGGATATGTTAAATTCGTAAGTGGCAGGTTATATAAAACTAGCGTATTCATCCATTGCCATTTAGCTAGATAGAACTAAACTGAATGTAACCAGGTATTCCTTATCAAATAACAAGGAACTTGCTATTTGCTTTTGCTGGGAAAATAGGATATTACATGTATAATTTAAGGATTTAAAGTTTGAAAAAAAAAAAAGGCTTACTTTTCTGAATAGCCACACATGACCTCTCATTTTCATCAGATGTTTCATTACTATGCTTGATGAGCATCAGACCTATTCCCTTTCTGCTAACAGTAAATCATAGCCATACTGAAGGACTATGGCAGGGATGGTGTGTACTCTTTAGCTGGTATTTATTGATGCCATCAAATGTATCCTAAAGAGCCTCAGAAAAAGGTTCATCCTATAAGGCAAAAGTAGGAATCTAAACTTTGATGTCTGTACACTTGATCAATATGATTCAAATTCTGTACATTTAAATGAATTCAGCTGTATGCAGTTTCAGTTTGGGCACATGAATTTGTATTTTGAGTACTTGCCTCTTCCAAATACTGGTAAAACACATTTTAAGCATCATGTCCTTTATACAGAAATAGACAATCCTTATGAAGGGCCATCTGCATCTATTAAATAGAACAGAACAGAAACATATATCCCGGCAGGTGTCTGATTGTGGAACATCTGGAATGAGTCATCAATTGTGGTACACCCAGTCTTACAAGGGAATAGAGGCTCTGCTTGTTTCTACTGCTGTGTTACGGCTTTTCCTTACAAAAGGCCACTGGATCCACCTCATAAGGAATGGTTTGTTCTCCTGCTGATATCCAAGAAAGTTTAGAATATAAAATGGATATGATTGCTCTCTCCAAGAAAGGAAGTGATATCCGTAGTGGTTAGGGAATGCAGAACTCAGTTATCTGTAGCTGTCTCCCTCCCATCCTAGTTCCTGTTATACATAATAAGCTCCTTGGCTATACTCTGTACTTTAGCAAGTGACTGGGGTTGGTCTCCATCACAGCATTTCCCAGCATATTTTGTGGTGGAATCCCAGCCTTCAAAACTGTAATGGTCAAATAAGTTTGGGGATGGCACCTTGCATTTTGCCCCTTTTAGAGATTTACTGTGAAAGGCCCTTAAGTTCTGCCCTAAGAAACCTCTTTACCTTTGTTTATCCCAGTATTTCTTGATTTTAACTAGGAAGACCATTTTGAAAACAAAGAAGAAAATCTATATTTAAGAAAACTTATCTTTTAGGGAGTAGAGGTCTCTTAATGATGCCTACTTTCTACCCCAACTAAATAATAACTTTTTGTTTGTTTAATAAAGAATATGATAATTGGAATGAGCAAGCTAAATTTCACTACTGTACTCCTCCTAATTTTGGAGAGAACACTTCATGCCTAAGCAAAGGGTTTAAATGTGGATATCCTGCACTAAGGGATCTTAAAGGTCACCTGCAAAGCATCCCAGCAGGGCAAGAGTCCCTTGGAACTCGCCAGACCGCACACCTCCTAAGGCCACGGGGACCCTCATCATTTCTCTATTTGAAAGAAAACAAAAACCATTCTTCAGTAACTGTTACATTCTCAGGGTGAACTCCCTCCAAATTCCAACTGGTAGTCTTAGCAATCAGGTAAATGAAACAACAAAACAATAAATATGTTCCCCAAATCATTTGATTCTTTGAATATTCGAAACTGATATTTCTATTTAGTTTTCCTTTTTCCAGGCTCAAGACTCATGGCTCTTATAACCTTTTATCGTGTTAAGTTTCAAGGTCATTTTGCCCTTGTGGCTGCATTTCTCGGTTGTTCTCTGGTGGATTATTGTCTCTCTGAAAACAAGTGTCGCAAATGGAACACAGTGTTGTAGATGTGCTCTGGCTAGTAAAGGGTGCAGTGGAGATGATTACTTACCATGTTTTACAGATTACATTTCTTTGAATGTTCATACCAACTAGTATTGTATTAGTTTTCTTTAAGCAGTCACATCATATTTTTGGCTCATGAATTTTTGGTCAAGTTGAATTTTCAGATCTTTTCATTTGCTCTTGAAACTTTTTTTTTAACAACTGCTAAGTCGGGTCTTTCTCGTCATTCAGAATTTGATTTTGTTTAATCTAAATGAAGGACTTTATTTTCATTTATCCTTCTTTAATTTTGCTGACTTTGGCCCCTTGGTTTTGATTCTGACAATTTTCCTATGAGATTTCCACGGTCCAAGCTTTGTACTCTCTCCAAAGTCATTCTTCTGTTTAAATCTAAGTCACTGATAAAAATGTTCACCAAGGGCAGCAGCCCACACTGCCAGAGGCCTCCTCCAGAGGATTCATCCATTAATCAACTGCAGAAACTAAATTCAAGCAGTTGCCAGTGTACTCTAGTAGGCACACATCCAGGTGCTGTGTCATTATTTTATTCATAGAGGCTATTTTCTGAGGCTATACGATGGTCACTTGCAATTCAGGAACTATGCTAATTACAGTGCCCTGCTCTACTGCCTGACAGCCTCTTCAGAGGTTGAAATAGCTGAAGTGACTTTGACTTGGCTTTATTTATTCCTCCCTCCTTCCTACCACCTCCTCTCTTTCTTTCCTTTTTTTTAATGCTCATGGGATCTCCCTGTCATAATCCATTCTAGAATTTTGCTAGGAGTTGGAAGTACTTTATTGGACCATTGTTTCTAAAATTTTTGCCTTTTTTGAAAACCAAAATATTTAATTTTTAATGTCTTAGCATCTTCATTTACCATGATGCTTCTAAAATAGCTGAAACTACCTTGAAGATTACTTTGTTAGTTCCTTTAGAATGTAAGTATGTGACATTCATTTATTCTGGAGGCCAGAAGGCCATTTGTCCTGGGTCTGGAGGCTTAAATATACTTTAAAGCACTTACATAGGTATTAGTGAATTCATGTTCCCTCTCTATGTTGATCAGAGTGTTTGCCTCTCTGTAAAAGACAGTCATGCTTTGATCTCAACATGATATTCTCGTAAAACAGTGAGTCTCTTCATTATTGGCACTTAGTAGCAAAAAAATTTTTCTGTGGCCTTTAATAGTTTTATGAATCTCATCTCATTCAAGGCACTACAGGTCTTCCCAGTAGTAGTATTAAAAGTTGTGTC